ACCACACTGCTAACAGAACAACACTGCTAACAGAACCACACTGCTAAAAGAACCACAATGCACCAATTCATCTGCCAATCTCATGCTCCATTCTTCACTCGTGAGCAAAACCCCGAGATACTTGAACTCCTCCACTTGAGGCAGAATCTCACCCTCGACCTGAAGAGAACAATCCACCCTTTTCCAACTGAGGACAATGGCCTCGGATTTGGAGGTGGTGATTCTCATCTCAGCCGCTTCACACTCGGCCGCAAACTGCTCGAGTGAGAGCTGGAGATCACGGCACGATGGCACCAACAGGACCACATCGTCTGCAAAGAGCAGGGATGGAATCCTGAGGCCACTGAACCGGAATCCCTCCACCCACTGGCTGCGCCGAGAAATTCTGTTCATAAAAGTTGTGAACAGAAACCGTGACAATGGGCAGCCCTGGGGGAGTCCTACTCCCACCCTGAAGGGGTCCGACTTACTACCGACAATGCGAACCAAACTCTCGCACCGCTTGTACAGGGACCGAACAGCCTGGTAACAACGGGCCTTTAATCCCATACTCACAGAGCACCCCCCACAGGTTTTGATACTATCTAAAGAAAAGTGAGAAGTGAAAGGCAATCAAAGTTGCAAAATGTGTCTTATCTTAAAGTTTACATTTGACCTTAAACTGTCAGAGGTGATGTTAAACTCGTAAATGACAAAGTATTACAACAGCTTTTTTTAAACGTGGTTGAGCAATAGGGATGTGTACTAGACTTTGGAGAAGGCAGTCGGTCAGCAGTTCAAGCCTTCTTTATTAGATGCATGGATAAACAGAAACTTTATTAACCCTGCACAGGAAATTAGTTTGTTACAGCAGTTGTTCCTCTTCGTGCGAATGTCACCAAAGACAACGTTGTCTGATATGAAGCAATAAACTTCAATAAAATGATAAATAGTGGTTAAAAGAATTAAAAACACACTTAAGTATGCCAAAATCTACCATGTGGATTTGTCTGATGTATAATATTGTCCATTATTAGAAGCAGGCAGGAAACACTTCCAGCTGTGTTACATCACCACTGTACCGAGTACTTTGTAATAATGTTGATAAAAACAACATAGATACAAATTAAAATGAAAGATTGCAATACAGCTGTACAGATTCAGAGGGGTAGCAAAGCCTGCTGAGTTGTATATGTTAAAATTTGTTTATTTTTTTATTTAAAGATAAATCTATTTGATTTAATAGAAATGTATTTACCACTTTAAGCCCTTTCCCCAAGTTTGAAGCGTCTAAAAACACCCATTTAAAAGTAATGATTTTTTTTTTTTTTGCATCTACAAATACTTAAATAGTGATCACTGACCATCTCCTGAGCTAATGGGGGGCAAACTGTTGGCATCAGGGGTGGAGCAGATGACACCAGTGGTAGTGAGCAAGGCAGGAGTTTCTGTGTCCTGGAAGAAGCAGGAGTACGCCTCTCCTTGTTTAAGATTAGGGAGGCCCTCTACTGTCAATGCAATCTGAATGAGGAAAAATCAAGAAAACAAAAAAGATGGTGGTTATTGTCATGTTGCTTCTTGACGGTACTCATTTAGAGCTTAATTCTAGGATTTGTAGAGATGAAAATGTTTGAGATAGATGACGTCAAAGATGACGTATTGCTACAATAATTCATCCACTCTGCTCTATCTCTCTGCATTACGTCTGTTTTTTCTCCACGGCTGATGTTGTAGAGATTGAGGCGCTGGATGCTGAGGCACTGCTGCGTCTGGTTGAAACTCCACAACCACTGGCCCTGCAAAGATCCTCGCTGGCACTCCCACCGCTGTCCACAGCTGAAACATCACACATTTATTACAAGATAGGAATGTTCAAAGCTGTAGTAAGGAGAGAAAACGCATCTGCAAATGTGTAAAGACTCACCGTCCCTCCAAGACACACCAGCCGCAGTAGGGGTCTCTGGCAGACAGACAGGACTGACAGTCGAAGTGATCCCCACATTCTGCAACGGGACGCCTCTCAATCTGAATACAAGCAGAGGAACCAGTGTTAGAAATTAAAGGCAATTTTCTAAATATCCCTCTGAATAAGAAATATATCTAAAATACTACTCCTAATTAAGTACTTTAAACAGCAAAGGATGTATGTGTGTACCAGTATATTGACATGTAGGTACATATGCATATGTATATATATGAATATGTGTATGCATGCTGCGTGTGTGTGTGTGTGTGTATATATATATATGTAGGTTAATAATGAATGTAGTACCAGTACTCCCTACCACCTTGTGAATGTGAATATTGTCTTCCCCACTCGTTCACCCATCCGTCCATCCATTATCTATCTATCTATCTATCTATCTATCTATCTATCTATCTATCTATCTATCTATCTATCTATCTATCT